TTGTCCCAATTTGAACTTTTTAATATATAGATGTTTATTAAAAGAAGATTTGATGTTATTAGTATGTAATGTCGAAAAGTTCGAATACAGAACACCTTATTAGTATATAATGTGGAATACAGAACACCTTATGAGATTCCATTTGTTAGGGGGGGGATCTTACGAAAAGCGACTTCTGAAAGCTCTTGGATTGTCCTACAGTGGTTTATCGGTAATTTTACGGTCTTACAGCGAGAAAATTTGGGGTTCGATTCTCCGCAGTGCATAAAACATATATGGCCCAATGTGGCTGTGCACTAAAAAAAAATACCTGCATCAACATCAGCTTTTGTATTTTTCTAAAGTGAAAAGGCAGTGATTATAAGTAACGTGTATTGTATTGTAGTTTTACTATGCACACAGTAAAAGAGCAAAAAATAATTTTAATATTTTTGGGGAGAGGGGTTTCGAACCCTTCTTTCCACAGTTAGTGCTCCCGGTTTTAGTAGAGAATGATTCAGTAATATCTAGCTATTGAATGTATAGTTTATTGTGTTTTAACTGTATTTGAAATTTTTTGATAGTGAGTCAGCTGGCGAATGGAGTGAGGAGGCTACCGAATCAATGGTGGAGAGTTCTCCCAGAGGTCCGTTTGGTGACGTCTTCAAATCTTGTCTTCTGGTAGAAGAGAACATGCTAGCCAGGCAAGAGAACGTGGTGTAAAGATACATACTACCATGTAGATATCCACAATATGGAGTTTATAACGTATCACAAAGAACATAAGAAAAGTGAAATGAGTAACATTCAACATCTGAATCACATATTTTAAATTATTAATGTGTTTAGTGGACGTTTATGACGTTGTAACAGTCGTGACTAAATGTTTCTTTTATCTGTGATAAGCCTGATGCTATAACATAAAAGATTGATATTTTTTCTTTGCCATTTCATCTTTTCGTTTCTTCTAAATTATTATTCTTTATCACCATATTTACCTTTATTGTTCTGAGACTTGAGTAATATTTGATGATAGTATATGGTTTGTTTTGTGTAGAATCTCGTTCAAATTTGTAAAAGGAATATTTTTATATATTAATGAGTTTTCTGCTTTATCGTCAATTAAACGTATTGTCCATATCGTCCAGGATTTTATTTCATTTCTAATTTTAAAGTCATAGTTTAGTTATGAAGCCATCAGACGGTAAAAGTTTGAGTGACAGCTTTAGCATTTTGACTTTTAACAGACAACGTTTCAAACAACAGTTCCAAATAAACTCATGTTGATTCCTAACTAGTCTTTGGAAATAACTCTTAATTTAGGATCACGGTCAATTTATGTCTGCTTTTAACGTTATATGTAGGTTTTATTGGCATTGTATATTTCCCTAATACCACTGTCACGATTTAGAAGCTCCATCTACCTGGAAACCCGTAACGAATTCTTGTTCGTATCATATAAGTTTTTCAATTCGACAAATTTTGATTCAGCACAGCCACTGCAGACTTATTAAAATAATTTGAGTGTAAATAACGTAAATAATTTCTATTTTCAGAAGAAAAGAAGTTCTTCAAGTTTTGAATCCTGATGAAACCTACCTGACCATTTCTGTTTTCCCTCGGTAAGTTACAGTGTTTGATTATACACAGACATATACTAAGAAACATGATAACATTTTACGTACACGAGGTGATGCAGACGCTGGCTGCTCACTTTCTCAAATTGCTCAAATTCCACCAATGTTACCTTACACCTAATTTCAGAAAAGTAACATAACTTCTGAAAGTTTTTATTTGTTGGTTATCTATGCTCTGCCCAACTCTGGTATCTAAACCTGAATCTTAGCATTATACACTCCCAGGTTTACTAATGATTCACTGGGTGGGGGGGGGGGGTTCTTCAGGTCGCAACCTTAAATTACCTCAATAATATTATTATGCCTCATTCCGTACCACCTAACGATTGTTTTCTAAATTATGTGCCTGCTAATGAATTACAGTACTTTAAGTCATTAGAACATTACTAGATTAAACAGGTATACCACCACCCTTCTCAATTCAGCTGATATTGAAATTACAATGTATCATATGGTTATGAAATATTCTAATCCGAAGTAGTAAGTCTCCCACTTCAGATGCACTGCAAGAGAGCGCCACGTGTTTGTCGAGGGAAGAAAGAGGTGATGTCATCAAAAATGACGAAGTCATAGTTCCAATCTATTGTCACCAGATGGCACCACTTGTGTGTGTGTGTGTGTGTTTGTGTGTGGTCATCGAAGTTGACGAGGGCATAGTACTACTTTTGCCACCAGGGACGCGTCGTTAGGGACACGTTGCTAGGCGGCCATGATAGATGAATACGTAATAGTACTACAAAGTAGAGAACGTGTTTCTAGGCCGCCATGACAGGCGACCATGACTCATACAAGACATGTCTCATCATGTCGATAATTAATCATTAATTAATTAATTAAATCATCCTTAAAAAGACGTTTAAGACTAATTAATTAAATCATTTATAATTAATTCGTCCTTAAAAGGACGCTTAACACCAATTAATTAGTTAATCCTAAAAAGGACAATGAACACTAATTCATTAAATGATAATTAAATCATCCTATCACAAAGTAGAGAACGTGTTTCTGGGCAATCATGACTCGTACAATACATGTCTTAACAAGAATATAATTAATCACTAATTCGATAGTTAATTAAATCATTAGTTAATTAAATCGTCATAAAAAGGACAATGAACGCTAATTCATTAGTTAATTAATTAATAATTAAATCATTCTGCCACAAAGTAGAGAACGTGTTTCTAAGCAGCCATGACTCATACAATACATGTCTCAACAATAATATAATTAATCACTAATTCATTAAATCATTTGTAATTAATTCGTCCTTAAAAGACGCTTAAGACTAATTCATTAGTTAATCCTAAAAAGGACATTACATTTCCTTATCATTTGATAACTCCTACAAGGACAATACAATAATTAAAACTTAATCAAATGATTAAAGATTTTCAGTACTAATTTATCAGTTGGTTACATTTCCTGTCCTAAAAGGACTATATCTTAAATGTTAAAGATATTCAGTGATATAATAAATTGTTAAAAATATTATTTAACGTAACATGATTACAACATGCATTTTACCACGCACGTAATACATGACTATAAGTTTAAATCGCCCTAAAAAGGGCGATATCATACAATAATTAAAACTTATGCTTTATACAACATTTTACATCGTCAATAAAACGTTTATTATGCAATAACACTTTTACTAATTTGTGACAAAATTACTTTATCTCATGTTTTACAAAGGCTGACTTTCACACTTACTTAATTAGCATTATTACTGTAGGATTTTAACAAATATTATGTGACAGTACTTCTACAAGTTGTCAAAATCATTATTTAACGTAACATGTTTGAATGAGATTACAACTCACGGAGAAAATCATATATCTGGAATGAACATGTATATTTCGAAATACTACATAGTTAGTCCAAGGACCAAGTGATTAAAGTCTTGATAACAGTTCAATGTTTATGAATTATCGGCACTAGTGTGATACTTAAAATTATAATACATAAGTAAAAACAACGTTTACTATTTACACAATTAAAACTTTGTTGAAGGCGTACGGCTTCCATTTTAAAACAACACTCCACAAGTACTAGTTTCGACCTGATTCACGTCATCTTCAGGAGTTACTTACAAGCCATGTATTTATATTGATCAAACTAATAGAAACTTAAAATACAGATTTCAAGAACATAAAGGTTATATAAGAAATAATAAAACAGTAATCTCAGCTATAGCCGAACATGTAAAAACTACCCAACATACAATATTATGGGGAAAAAACTTTAATTTTGGCTCAACCTTGTAGTATTATAGCATTAAATATCAGAAAAACATTAGAAATAATGAAATATTAAATAGAGACGAAGGACCAGCAAGTTAATATGGTGAGATATTTTATAATCCTTTTATTTTATACTAGACCACCCGTGACACGTTGGGTCGCCCACTATTCAAAGGTTATGAAGAATTCAAGCTAATTTCAATATTGCACAGAAATGAAGGTTTATTTTGAGATAATTTAATTAAATATTTCAATCCACTCGTGTTATTCATAATTTAAGAAAAGATATTTGATTGTTGATCGGTAATAAAAGGAAAGACCATTTCATTTTTCAAAAAATTGTGACGGGGATTCGAACCCGCAGTTTACGAGTCGAGCGCCCTAACCACCTGGCCATGTCGGGCCACGAAACTTGTTTTATTCTGTTTTTATTCTCATTTCATTACAAATATGGCGCTATTGTGCGCTGTTTTTGCTGTATTTAATTACAGACAAACAAACAAACAATCTCAGAGTTTTAGAAGTATATAGATAGATAAAGTAGACCAATTACTTATGTCTTGTAAGTAACTTCTGAAGATGACGTAAAACTAGTACTTGTGGAGTGTTGTTTTAAAATGGAAGCCGTACGGCTTTAATAAAGTTTTAATTGTGTAAATAATAAACGTTGTTTTTAATTATTTATCATAATTCAATGTTTGTAACAAAAAACATCGGTTATTATAATAGTTTTGTAATAATAAACTATAACAATACAAATATGCTACTTTATCACTGCTGATATTAGTATTATCTTATCAGCCAAGACTTCCTGCATTTGCTGATAATTTAGTAGTTAATTTTATTTGATTTTTGAGATCATTTGTTATGTAAGATAATTTAATTCAATGGATGCAGAACGCATTCGAAACGCGTCGGCTAACTCATCACTAGCTACAACTTTTACCCGTTGTTCTAACAACGTTAAGACGGCTTATCGACTTCTTGAGAAGAATTCTAAGAAGAAAGTAAACCTACAGACATCGGTCTTGTTTAACAAAATCTGCCTAATAATAAACTCTAAACTTTACACAAGTAATCAAAGTTTTCTTTATATTAGAAATTATACAAAACATTTGAAAACTAAATCAGCCGTGCACTTTACTTACAGTTTAAAAACTGACCTTCAATTTACAAATCAAAACTTGTAAAGTATCATACATACTCAAACATTGGGGGATATTTACATGTTTACTCATATGACAGTGTAAAAAAAAAACAAATATATTTGACACATATAGACAGGAAATGTGCCAAAAACAAGTATTTTGATCGTTTATATGAAACGGACAAACAACCTAGAAATTCTATTTCAAGTTTCTTATGATAAAAGGTAATAAGTACATCTTCTTTCACGTTTTATAAATCCAGTATGTTTACAATCCACATAAGCTGTTGGGCCCAGCATGGCCAGGTGGTTAGGGCACTCGACTCGCAATCTGAGGGTCGCGGGTTCGAATCCCCGTCACACCAAACATGCTCGCCCTTTCAGCCG